TTCCCGATGAAGACGGAGGTCGCCGGGGGGTAGGCGGCCTCCTGCGCCCCGAGGGCGGTCACGACGACGTGGCGGTCGTGCAGGACCAGGCCGTTCTTCTCCAGCGCCCGGGCCACGCTGGCGGGGTCGCGGAAGAGGACGTAGGCCGTCGCGCTGCACCGGTCGTCCCGCTTGACCTCCCCGCGCAGGACGCGGACGGCGCGGCCGGGGTCCGCGCCCTTGCTGTCCCCCGCGGCCGCCAGCGCCTGGCTCCGCACCCGCGCCGAGGCGACCGGGCCGCAGTCCTTGAAGAAGCGCTCCACGGCGCGGCGGGGGATGGGTGTTGGGGGAGGTTCCCCACGAAGACGGTCCGGGCGTCCTCCTCGGGGTTCGCGTGCAGGCCGTGCCGGAGGATCGCCCGCTTCGAGGGAGGGCCAGCGGAGGCCGGGGCGGCGCCCGGAGCCTCCACCACGACGCTGCGGAAGACGTCGTCGGCCTCAGGCGGGGAGGGGGAGGGGGCGGCGGCCCCGCCCTCCAAGGCCATTTGGGCCTTCACGCGGCGGGTCGCTTTTTTCGCCTGCGGGGCGACCGCGAAGAGGTCCAGGGCGGTCTTCCGCACCGGGGCGAGGGTCAGCGCGGGCGGGGCCGCGGCCTTCGTGGAGTTCGCGGGCATCAATGCGATCGCTAGGAAGTGGCGAAGGGGATGGATAACAAGATATCTACTGAACAAGGTCGGTAACCCAAAAGAAAACATAAGGGAAATATAATTTATCCAGGTCGGAAAACCTCAAGAAAGGCAAACCGCAAGGTGAAATCACAGCTCCAAAAACTGCACTTGGAATGCGCAGAGGAAACGGAAGAATATAAATATAGTTATCAATATAGCAATCAGGAATCCATTACTCTAAATTCCACCATGGAATGGACATTTCTTTTTTAATTCAAATTACTTTTTGCAGCGCTGCTTCATCTTGTCTTGAAACATTTCGTGGGCCTCTTTCCAGACCTTCTGAAAGACCTCAGCTTTTTCAGATTTACACGCGGCCGTGGAAGGGGTATCGCGGCGGCTCGCAAGGGCTCGCGTATCCACCACCGATGTACTATCCGATACAAAGCAGCGATCCCACCAGAAGGTAATCCCTGCTCCAATGGCTTCTTTAAAAAGATGAACCACAAGCACCCGTAGCTCACGCTTTGGCAACGTCAGAAGCTCCCAACACCCCTCCAAAAGTTCATCGTCGGTTTTAATGCGATAAGAAAACGTCTGGCGAAGTTCCCCGAGGGGATGCGGAGATGCAAAAGAAATGGAAATTTGTGTACGCATTATTGTGGAGGCGCTTACGAACTCGTTGTTCTTACTTATATCCTTCTCTTTTTCCTCATCAGCTTCTTCGTTGGCGGCCGACTCACGCTCATGGGAACCCTCCTTGTTGTAGATGCAAAGGCGCTTCACTACTTTGCCGCGTGTATCCATGGGGACGATAAAGCTCACTGTTAAAGTATCATCCGTTTGTGCCCATAGGTGGCTATCGCCCTCTCGACCTCCATTTAAGGTAAGATTTCGATAGAGAATTTCCTCATCATTCTCCTCCTCCTCTTCCCCTGCGTCTTTATTATCACCCCCGGTGCATTTTTTCATTTCCTCCGTTTCACAGGAAGTGGGCACTTTAGGGGGGTGAAAAGGCGCGTCATTCGGATTGGAAGAGCACAGCTGTTGGTTTTGATCACTTGTCTCGTTTTGCTTCGCGCCCTTCGACGGCTCGCTTTGAAAAGGAGATGCCATCGCCTTCGGGTACCCATCAGAACCTGTCGAAAGCTGTACTCCTCCAGGGCCGATCATTACACGAGAAGGCTGCGAAAGTTTGACAACGCGTGGTTTTCGATTTCCTTCATTTTCGCTGTAAGGTTTTCCAGAATAGTTTTCCACGCCGTTATCCCTTTTTAAATCAGAATATCGCGCATCTTCAACGCAGCTAGAGCAACTGATGTCGCTTCCGAAAGAAGACTCGCTCGCTACAATGTGATCCCACTTTGAATAATCGATACCCGACATTAGCGCAATATTAAGCGAACTCGAAAATAATTGAGTAGAGTACTTTAGTTAGTATCAGTAGCACTAACTTGGAACAAGGACGTTTTTTGGCGACAGCTTCCTGTTGACTTTATTCCTTCACTATATAAAGAAAGCATTATAGAGTGGGGGAAAAAGAGAAAAATGAGTATCAATAGCTAGAAGTTATTAATTGCTTCCATTTCACTATCCATTCGTGCCCAATAAGTGCAGAAGCAATCAATTGAGTAAGCATGAGAGAAAAAAGATTCTAGGTGATGCCATCAGAGTTAGGTAAAACATTCCGGTACTGGCATTTTTGTGCCCACTTTACATAACGAATTTAATGATAAACAAAAGCAAGGAACCTCTAGAAATGACACTTTGCGTAGCCAGCGCGGCAGAGCGGGCATCTAGGCGGCATCACCACCTTGACATCCGCAACATTGCCACTAGTATTTTCGCTTCTAATTTCGTTCGTCGCATACCACCGTTGATACTGCTCAAATGCCGTCAGACAGGCATGGTGAAAGATGTGGCTGCAGCTCAAAATAACCGTCGAGCTGCCATAAGAAGGAAGCGATGTAGAAGACGGATCGTTTGGTGAAGCTTCCACGCCCACCGTGTTGCCTTTTTTTGAAATCTGACGCATTTTTTCCTTCTCTCCATTTTTTCGCGTACCAGGAAGGCGACGACTCTTCTTCTCCTTTCCTACCTTGGCCGATGGGTTCTTATAAACAATATTTTTATTAAGCGTAGTTCCTTGCTGCCGTTGTGCGGCATCGCGCTTTTGTTCATAGGCACGCCTTAGCTCCCGCACATAACGCTCTCCCTCACTTTCTGCGGAATCAATCAGCAAATTGTCGTCTTTTCCAATATCACAGGAGGAATGAAGCTCGTGGTCTAGGACCACTTTCTCACCCTTTTTTAGACTCTTACTTTCAGAAGTGGTAGTAACAACGGTAGGACGCGTTAAAGACTGGAAGCAAAACGATCCCTCTACCTCAAAATCACCCTCCGAGGCCGCAGTTGGGCCCTTGGCGAAAACTCTACCATCCAAAACGGTAGAACTCATTTTAATATGCTCCAAACAAATAGGGCATTGCGTCAGGGCAGACCTACCCGTCATCTTCTCTTTTTGATTACCTGAGTTGCTTATGGTTGGATGATCAACAAGCGAGGCGGGATCTGGGTTGAGGAGGTGGCGTTGGATAAGGGCTCGCCAATCCGATTCCGTCAAATATGCCCCTGCAATTGCCTGCTTCTGGACATCTAAACACGCTAAAAAGCTTTTACGAAGACGCTCTTGCTGATCTACAGTTCGCTCCCATGCCCTTGACAGCCGTGCTAGTCGCTCAAGGACGTACTCTTTGCGAAATTCGCCATCACACTTCACCCGCAGGCTCGTATACCTCCTTCGCGCGAGAAACCCGCGGATGATGGATTGAATCGTTACGATCGCCGCGCGCTGGACTAGCGCCTTGCCGGCGAAGAACATCCGCTTACCGTAGTGCGTAGTCCGGCATTCGGGGCAGGCGAGACGTACGGCGGCGTATGCCTCGCCGCCGAGGAGCCTCCCTGTCTCCTGGAAAGGCGGCGGGGCCTGGCGCTGCTGGCTTCGCACGAAGCGCTCGAACTGGCGAAAGCAGCGCTCGTGGAAGACGTGCGAGCAGCTCAGCAGGACCTGGCCCTGGTCCGCCGTCCGG